TTGTTGTCACTACCTTAGTTCTCCATGTGAGGACGTGACATTACTTTGATTTTACTTGGATTAGCATGGCAGGTGTCATCGAAGAAGAAGACGCTTATTCTTCCGGAACACATGGTCTTATTCTTTATTTTTTACACAATGTTTTCCATGTAAATATTTCCTTTGTTCATATTTTGTTCAGTTTTATCGATTTCGAGTTACAATAATGATTTTGTTGACACTTCAGTACTCTCTTATTGTTTTTTTGTTTTAGTTGTTCTTCGTTCCTGACGAAACACTACACAAGTAAGTATTTAAAAATATGCAAAACTTAATCCCAAAGCAAACAATCATGGACGACTATAAAATTGTTTCTTTTTCGGGTAATTGCTATGCAAGGCAACTTTGGGGTACCAGGGATACAACTTAAGTACAGTAAACGGAAGAGTTATTAAGATTTGCGGTTAGGTTACTTAAACTTTATCCACTTCAAGAGTTTCAATGACTATTTATAGCTGAACAATGGTTGAGGACCCCTGTCCCACTGTACTATAGTTTCCCCTATATGTAGTAACCTCCATAACTTCTCCTTAACTTCCGTTAATATAGAACTTTAGAACAAATGGCTAGGGACACCTACGCCAAACAGGTAGCTCAAGCGTTCAGCAGTCTGGAGATCTGGGTTCGAATCGGGGTCTAGCACCTTGACGATTTTTACAGCCAGTTTCCAATAATGACTTACAGTTTTGGCAGTGGTACGGGGATCATTAAATGAACCATGAAAGTAACAAATAATAGTATTCATACAATGCTAAATATTATTTTACCCTTCGTACGTTGGAGCTCTGAAGTAGATATGTTTTTTAAGATGATATTATTTTGTTACACTCTATCAACGGAAGAACATTATTGTGCTTGGTTGTTATATTTAAAAGAATGATTTTCTAGAGACAAACTCGGCAGTTCTGGTCTCACAACAACGATACCTTACAAGGAATAACGGAAAATGTTAAGAAACGGAGAGTATATAAATGTTTAAAGTTCGATTGCATTTGTTAAAGGTTTAAATGTTATATACTTTCAGTTATAAACAAATTGAGGGAAACGTACGGAACGCAACTTTCGACCTGAGCCTCTCAAAGGTAAGGCTGTTTATTAATCTTGTATACAGAACAATATCCGCTTCAAAAGACAGTATGGAGGTTAGAACGGTTAAAATTTGACAGAATGATAAAAATGGGGTCGTGATAAGGCCTCTCAAGTATAAAGCCCTTGAGCTTGTGAAGCAGTTTATTACCTAATTATAAAAGGACGCATATAAATTAAGAAAGATGTCAAACTAGAAATTTGATTTACTTAAATAAGGCAGTATACTGACCTAAATACTTAACCCGCAACCTTTACATTAAGTTTAGCATTCCCTATGTGTTGGGAAAACAAATACTGTGAAATCAGATATTTTCGTGGCGCCCAAATTTCGTGGTTTCCCGACAAAACACAATTTCGTGGAAACATGGATTTGTGGATTACGAGTATATCAAACTTGTAATTACTTCGTGGACCTACACATTCGTGGTTGAAGATTACACATGGAATCAACGAAATTAAAAATCCTACGAAAATGATTGCACAGTATATATATGTAGCAAGTTCGGTGATGATTCGTCTTTATCTTTCAGATAAATTGAAGTTAAAACAATTTAATTGCAGAAAACAACAGCGAAACAAATGCACCAGATATTGATTGAATATGAAAGAATGGTTGGTACAAGTGTAATTTATCAATAACTGAGTTGTTTTACATATCCACGACGGTCATAACAATTCCTCTGTTACCTTACATGTTTAAGACTCCTGGAAGTACATGTAATAATTAGTATTTTACCTTAAAATGCTAGATAGAACAATTGCTACTGATGTGTACCATTGAAACAACAAGAGAATGACGAATGTCAGCAGAATTCTAATACAAACTACATTTGTAAAAATCACCGGTTCACGGTTTGTTATGAGTTTAGTCATCAGTGCAGTGTATTATTTTGACATATTCATCGTTATACCGAATCAATATAACAGCGTGTCTGATTGGATGATATTGATCACACGACGGCGAAATAACACAAATCGTTCCCCTTACGTGCTCGTGTGTCCCTGTCATAAATCCCTTATTCGAAGCATCCTGAGTTCCGAGTGACTGAAGAGGACGACAACAGCGGTTCGCCATCCTGATCTTCCCTGTTATGTTATTGGTCTATTTCGGTGTACTAAATATTGGGTTATGTCGGCTATGATTGAGTATTTTATAACTATGTCTTAAGAATCCCTGTCCCACTGCGCTGCCGGTTTTTTCTTTATACAGTAACATCTCCTTAACTTCCATTTGTGTATAACTTTGGGTTGTACACATCCGTTTTCAAGATAGCTCAATCGGTTTCAGCGATGGTTTAACAAGTTGAGGTCCAGGGTTCGAATACTGGTCTGACCCGCAGACCATTAAACACTTGGAACACGTTCGTTAAATTTTTGTTTGTTTCATCTCCATTATGATTTAATAAAAGACCCACAATGTGTATTTTTCTTTTCAAAAATGATTTATAAAAGCTCTAGTCATGCCGGAAAAATAAGTTTCAAATGAAAAGGTTCATTTTTGGCAGTGGTACGGGGTTCCTTAAGGTTGTTGATCACCTACAGATTTTTTTTCGATTTCAGGGTTGATATAAATATATTGGTGCTGCATATGGTACAGGGAGTTCTCTTCCTGATTTTTTAAAACTTTTTATAACTTTTTATAACTTTGTTTTTTGGGCGGGGGGGGGTCATACTATATGTCCCTTCCAGTGGTGATTGTTGTTGTCTGTTCGTAACGACATCGAGCTTGGAATTTGTTTCTGCACGTTGCAGTTATAGGGTTTTATTTTCCAACTCTATTTTTTTTAAATTATTTCGTCTGTTTAACCCGGCCAGGCTTACATGGATGGAGGTATTGCCAATGAAGCTTGGGAGGCTAGGGAAGAAAAGGGAGTCACACACGACGGGACCATAAACGACCCCGAAGACCCAGGTGGTGTATACATAACGATAAAAGAATTCAAGGGTCACATACGGTAGAACCATTAGGGTGTCAAAGACCCAGAGAAGGGTTCACAAACAATACATTGGCAGATTGAAAAAGAAATCATCGGTTTAAGTATCGACGCAAATGTTAATGAACCGCAACTTATCAATGTATTGTTAGATATCAAATGGAGTTAATTTGTTTTGATATATTATGTGGTATTGTTTTGTAAATATTCTTACCTTTAAACTATTTTTAGATTGTTATATCACGTTTGAACCTTGTATACGTAATGAAAAAAAACTCTTGCCACGACCTCAATCAATCTACTGCCTTGCTTTCTTTATTTATTTTTTTGTCTTTTTTTCGATTTATCAATATATAATACTTATCAAATTTAATTCATGAATGAATATCTAACGAAAATTTCTTTTGTTTTTATCAGACCGATACATTGTATGTATATATACATTTTATAAATTATATATGCATTGTAGGCAGTTTCTGGACAACAGAATGGGCGTTACCTTTCCGATCTCTGTCTGAAGGGTCTACAAGAAATCAATCTAAACCATTTGATGATGAAGTTCACTTTATGCAATTTGCCAGGTAACATTTTACCCACAAATACCTGTTAAGGGTAAACCCTCTGTAACAGTGACACGTATCTCCTACCAGAAGAGTTCCGCTCTGAAATTGTATGTAAAGATAAAACTCAGATAATAGTGAATTAGTAAGTTATGGTAATCAGAAGCTTTGTAAGGGAAATAACTTATATATGAAGATAATGAAAAGTGTATAACTTCAATTTTTATTATAAATATATATATATATATAAATAATTATTTATAAAGCTTAGATATGGACATATGATATTAATCATTTTACAAATGAACATATAATCTGAACGTGACGGGCACAAACGTCCAAAAATGAAAAATACATAATTATGTGATATAAAGAACATTCTACTATTTTACTTATGCATGCATCAGATCTAGTTGTTTAGCAATCCTGTAACCGAACAGGTTGGAATTAGTGTTTGACCTTCTTTAGAGAGCTTATCGCGAGTATCGCCATGACAGGACTATCAGTAAACCAGTGAATTGGGTGTTTAAACCTGTTCTTACTATAGACCTCTCTAACAAGTGTGGCTGAATTTATGCTTAAATCACATACAATGACGGAAACTGTAGTGAAACATTCGTCTAAACCCTAGTGTTAGTATAAAGAATATTTCACACAACATTCTTATCTCAGTGTTTGCTAGCGTCACAAGTGATATTCATTTCGTTGGTTCGAAAGAACCTATAAATAATAGATATACATATATATAGATTTACACATAAAACAACAAATATATCTTTCACACCATCACATATACGTTTTACCGATAATAAAGTTCAGTTTATTCATAGCGCTGCGTAATTAATTCATAAATTATATATTAATTGAATAAGAATACAATACTAAACGCGACGCATTCACCAGGATGCTGTGCACAAAGGACTTCTTCCAATGTAAGTTGGAAGTATGCAGTGCAGTTTCATATATGTCTGACTCCTTAGAATGTCTCCGGTTGTGTGTCTCATAAGAGTTGATATAAAACATAAGTTGAATGGTCAAGAAAGTGCTGCGATTGGT